TTTTCTCTGCAATATTGTTCTTATTCTTTTATTATTTTATAACATTCTTTTCCTTTTCATAAGAAAATAAAAATTACAAGAATACAGGGAATTCTGTGGTATCTAAAGGAGCAGAGTAAAGAGAAAAAAGTATGTTGTGCATCATTGATAATGTGCTCTTTAAATACAAGTGAATTATGTGGGAAGGAATCCCACAATATCAGTAAAATTAAATGAATCATATCAAAATCAAAGCAGTAAGAATCAGAAATATACAGTAATGAAATCAAGAATAAAAGATACTGATTTGGTGAATATTCTATCCTAATTTAGCTCCATTATGCCCCCGCAAGTTCGGGGGTGGTGGAACGACCCCTAACTTAGAGACAACACATTGGCTTTGTGCTTTGGATAAGGGCTTTGTAAGTGGATTGGCAAGCTGGCCAGCAGAGTGAACATGGACTACGCGGAGTTGTTGACGCTGAACTTGATCTCTAACAAAATGAAAATCAATGGCTATGTGTTTCATTCGACTGTGGAAAACTGGATTTCGGCACAAGTAGGTGGTGCCAATGTTGTCACAGTAGATAGTTAGTACATCCTCAAGAGAAATACAAAGCTCTTTAAAAAGATTGGTGAACTAATTTGTCTCAGCAACATCATGAGCAACAGCACGATACTCAGCCTCAGTTGAAGAACGTGCGACTGTTCCCTGTTTCTTTGACGACCAACGGATGGGTGTTGAACAAGGATAGATAACATAAGTAGAAGTAGAGGTGTGATCATCTTGGTCACCTATCCAATCGGCATCGGCATAGACATGGAGGGCAGTAGTCGAGTCACGGAGAAAAAGAAGTCTGCGATGGATAGTTGATTTGAGATATCGAAAGAGTCGCATCACTTCTTGCCAGTGTGTATGAGATGGATGATGCATAAATTAGGAGAGCTTATTGACAGCAAAACTTATGTCGGATCTAGTAAATGCAAGGTAATGGAGTTTTCCAATTGCACTTCGATATTGTGATGCATCTGTAGAAGAGGAGACATCATTCAATCGAAGTGAACTTGTGGAGGACAAAGGTGTAGAGACATCGTGACATTCCTGCAAAGAGAGTTCCTGCAAGACATTCATTATGTACTTGGTCTGAGAAAGAAATAAGCCATCCGGGGTGAGGAATTACTTCAATGCCCGAGAAAAAGTGTAGGGGGCCAAGATCTTTGAGAGAGAAACGGTTGGAGAGTGCCCCCTTAATATTGTTAATGGCCTATAAATTTTTTCCTGTAAGAACAATGTCGTCTACGTAGACGAGCAAGAAAAGAACGGTGTCCTGAGCATGTAAGGTGAATAAAGAGTGGTCAGAATGAGCCTTGCAAAAACTAGTAGAGATGAGAAAATTTGTAAGCTCAGTGTACCAAGCACGGGGTACCTGCTTTAGGCCATAAATTGCCTTGTTCAATCTGCAAACATAATTCGGGTAATTGGGATTCTCAAAACCTTTGGGCTGTTTCATGAAGACTTCCTCTATCAGTGTACCTTGTAAAAAGGCATTCTTTATATCTAATTGATGAAGGGGCCACCTGTTTTGTGTGGCGATGGCAAGTATTGTTCGTATTGTTGCTGGTTTGACAACAGGACTAAAGGTGTCAGCATAATCGATTCCAGGCCGTTGAGTGAAACCTTTTGCAACAAGGCGAGCCTTGTAACGTTCAATCAAACCATCACCTTTACGCTTGATATGAAATATCCATTTATTCTCCACTATATTTTGGTGATCCGATGGTGGGACAAGATTCCATGTTTTGTTGGTCATGAGAACTTCAAACTCACTTTATCTTTTCTCCACTGGGGGTCCTTGGATGCTTGTTTGACTGTAACTGGCGGTATTTGGGATGTAAGGATAGCCATGGACGCGTACTTTGGGTTGAGCTTAATTATTTGACATTGGGAGCGAGTGACATGGCGACGTGGTGGTGAAGGCCGGTTAGTCTTAGAAGAGATGTCAAGTTCAGTTGACTCGTGCTATTGGGGAATGGAATCTAAAGATGAGTATGTGTATTTGAAGTAGCATGTGGAGCACATTGAGTAGCAGGGGAAGAAGAATCATGAGGGGAGGAATTTACCTGATTGTGTTGGATACAATTGCATTCTGACTGAGGGCACACAGCTATTGACTGAGCAGTAGAATCATTTGTACGAAGAGGCAAGCTTGGATCTTTGTGTGGATGTGGACTACACAATTTAATAAGAGAAGATATGGTATGATCTGGAGAAGTTTTAGAAGAAGATAATGTATCTGAATTGGATGTGCAATTAAACCAGGAGATATTATAAGAGGATCCTATATATTTGGAAAAAATATTTTCCAAGAACTTGCCTCTTGGAGAAATATATTTTTGATTTCGGATTCAAAGCATTGATGACTGTGAAAGTGGGTAGAAAATCCTAAATAGACACATATCTTGGTTCTAGTTTATTTTTGGTATATGGTTTTAGCCAAGGATAGCATAGACAACCAAACCTAAAAATTGAGAAAATATTAGGAGAGGTACCGAAGAAAGCTTGATATGGGGAAATATTACCAATGGATGGTGTAGGAATAGAGCTGTCAATATGGGTTTGTCCCGTTGGGCCAGCCAGCCTGTAATTTAGCAGGGTTAGGCTAGAGTTTTTGGAGCCCATTTAAAAATGAGGCTTTTAAGCCCTGCCCGAGTAAGCTGGTGCCCGTGAGGCTTGACTGAGGCTGAGCTGGGCCGGCCCGTGGGCCTAATAAAAATATTTATTTATAATATAAAAAGTATACTGCCTCTAGCGATGGAAAGTCAACATTGGATCTTTACTTAAAGGAACCAAAGCTTGATCTTGAGAAGTTCCAATAGAAGGATGTTGTCATGTATTGGAAGGACCATTGTAGAAAATATCCCGATCTTTCAGTGATGGCGCGTGATGTACTTAATATTCCTATTACCACTGTAGCATCGGAATCAACATTTAGCATTGGTGGGTGTGTTCTGACAAAGTGCAGAAGTTGTATCCATCACGAAAATGTCCAAACACTTGTTACTACTCGAAATTGGCTGCACGGCTTTTCCCAAACTCAAACTGGTAATATCTTTTTATGTGAATTTGAATATTATTAGTTTTTATAATTTAATTATTCTTAATATTTTAACTAATTAATACTGCATATGAACTGTAGATGTAGATGAAAGTGAAGATGTTAAGGCAACCTTGTCACAAGCAGATTCAAATGTGTTTGATGGAGATGATGTATTGGATATCCCATAAATATCATGGACGTTCTCTTGAATAGTTTGTTTTGAGTTTTGACTTTTAGTGAATAAAATATAGTCTTGTCTTTTGCCCTTTTATTGTTTATTGTGATATACTGGAACAATATAAAAAGTTATTAAGTTTTGAGAAATTTCGAATAAGATATTTTTTAACTTTTAAATATTTATCTTATTTTAGGTTAGAATTTAAAGAAAAAATATAAAATTATATTTTTAAAAATGATGGGCCGGCCCATGGAGGCCCTCGACCCTCATAGGGCTGGGGTGGGACCATTATAAGGCCCCTCAAAATGGTGGGCTAGCCTAGTCCTACCCGTCAATTGCTAAAGCCTACATGGGCTGGGCTAGGCTAACCCTGTCCGACCCATATTGACAGCTCTATGTAGGAAATCTGTTAATTAGATAAACAGCAATTTGGCAAGCAAAACTCCAAAATTGTGACGGTAGAGATGCTTGGTGAAGCAGGGTTCGTGCAGTTTCAATAATGTGCCTATGACGTCTTTCAGCTAAAGGCAATTCTTTGAGGGGTATATGGCGGAGAGGATAAATGTTGAATACAAATTCAGCAAGAAGTGATTTTAGTCATTTAAATTCTCCTCCTCCATCCGAATAAAGGTGAGGATCTTAGTATTGAAAAAGTTTTCAATTAGTGGTCGAAATTCTGAAAAGAGATCAAAGACATCACCTTTTTGTTTAAGTGTATAGAGCCAAATGTATTTAGTAAATTGATCGACAAAGATAATGCAATAAAGCTTTTTATCTGGGGAGAGAACGGGTGAATGATCCCAAGCATCTGTGTAAAGTATTTCAAAGGGCTTTGAACTGCACAAAGAGTTCTGCGAAGAAGGAATCATGTGGCTTTTATTGCAATTGCATGAATTACAAGATTGAAAATTATCAAAATAAGACAACTGATGATTGTTTAAGAGAAAGTTCAGAAGACGGATATTAGGATGTCCTAAACGACGATGCCACATAGATAAAGGAACTTTTGAGGTATTTGCCGTGTAGGCTGTTGGAGATGAATGTGCTGAAGTTGTAAGCTTTGGCCATTCGTACAAATCATCTCTATTCCAGCCTTGTAATAGCGGTACCCCCATAGTCAGTGCCTTCACAACAAAAGACGAAGGAAAGAATTCAATAGATGTTTGGTTTTGTTGACAAAATTTTGAAACAGATATAAGATTCTTTTTAATAGATGGAGCACATAAAATGTTATGTAATGAAAAAGAACGAAGTTGAGTGTTTAGTGTAGTAGAACCAGTGTGGGTGATCAGAATATCATTACCATCACCCTATGAAACTTTTTCAGAACTCGTGTATCCATGCGAAGAGGCTATGCTCTGAGAATCAGTAGTAATATGATGTGAGGAACCAGTATCCATAATCCAAGGAGCAACGTTGGGAGAATTCCGAGAAGCATACATAGCCTTAGCTTCAAAATGGTTATGTGATTTTGAACGGCAAATATTTGGCGTATGGCCAAATTTTTGACATAACTAACATTGAATTGGAATTTTGGCCTGCAACGGAGTAGAGGGACGCCATGGCTAGGAAAAGTTTCCATTGCTTTGAGTGTTCTGGGAACACCATTGTTGTTATCCAATAGGAGTCGTTTGCGGACGCTATTGAGGCTGGCCAAACCAACGACGAGTTTGCATATTTCTATTGTTATTATTATAGATTATTGGCTGTGCAACTTGAACAGTCATGGGAGTTACTGGTTTATTCTATTCAGCTTGCTTGAGATAAAGTTCATGATCTGTGAGCTTGTGTGCCAATTCTTCATATGATATAGGCGAGTCCCTTGATCGAATAACAGTACTCAGTGCTTCATATTCGGGTGCGAGACCGCTAAGTATTTTCATAATCGATTCTTCATTAGAAATGAGAGCACCGAGAACATCTAACTCATCAGTGATTGTTCTTATTTCTCTGAGATAACCAGTGATGGACTTTTGATCTCGCTGAACTTTGGCTAGTGCATCTCGAAGACTATAGATCCGGGTTTGAGATCTATTCGTATGTGTGGTATGTAAATAATCCCATGCTTCTTTTGAAGTTTCAGCGGAGGCAACAGATGGTGCAATAGTGGAATCGACAGATGCCATTAAGGCATCGCCGATGAGATTATCTTTCTGAAACCAAATTTTGAAATCTGGATTGACAACGTCTTGAGTTCCTTGCTTAATGGTGTGTGGAGGTGGTGTTATAGATCCATCGAGATAACCCATCAAGTCAAAGTCATTCATGACCTTTTGAATTTGAGCTTTCCATGTTGCGAAGTTTGCACCACCAACAAGTTTGATAGGAAGTTGTGAAGTTGGGTTGATGTTAATAATCTGTGTTTTGGTTGCAACAACATCAATAACTGTGGGAGAGGTATTGTTTTGAAGAACAGAAGGATTGACTGGATCATTGTTGTTTGAATTAGTGCCTGAAACAAAGAAGTCGCCCATTGATTTTCTGGTGGTTTAGAGGGGAGGAAAAAAAAAGAATACTTTGTGAATAAGATGGAGAAGATGATTTTGGAGTCTATACTCGTTTGAGTATTTATTGCTCTGATACCATAAAGGAGCAGAGTAAAGGGAAAAAGACTTGCTGTGTATCATTGATAATGTGCTCTTTAAATACAAGTGAATTGTGTGAGAAAGAATCCCACAATATCAGTAAAAAATAAATGAATTATGTCAAAATCAAAGTTGTAAGAATCAGAAATATACAGTAATGAAATCAAGAATAAAAGATACTGATTTGGCGAATATTCTATCCTAATTTTGCTTCATTGGTATATATCTTGCTTAGTTTTGTGATTTTTCTGCTTGCAGGGAAGTAATTGAGCAAATGTTTGAGACACGCACGTACTGCAGATATAGATTGCTCTGGTGAATATTGCTTTAGGTCAACAATTCAAATTTCAAGTGGGTTATTATTATAATTTTTGAATTTCCTTATTAGAATTTCTTGAACATTTGTTTTTTGTGATTAAGTAACTTTTTTTTTGGCGAATACATAGATATCTCTTTAAGTTGTTTTCAAGGACGATTTAAACAAAGATATACTGTATAAGTTATTTTCTAATAACTAATATAGAGAAAAATAAAACAAAGAAAATAAAGTATACTCTATCAGTTGTATAGAAAAAAGAAAGAGAGAGTAAACGAAGATTTAAAGTATCAGTTATCTTTTTCATTGAATAAAGGAGTCGAAAAAGTGAATAAAATCAGAAGAAAATAATTTAAAAAATAAAATAAAAATATGAAGGAAAAAAAGAAAATTTGAATGAAATTAGAACTGGATAAAAAGAAAAGAAGAAAAAAATGACTGAAAGAAGATAAATAAAAATAAAAGGAGAAAAAAGGTGAAAAAAAATTTAAAAGAAATTAAAAGAAAAGGAGAAAAAAAATATGCATCAAGTGTCATAATATGAAAATATGGAAGAAATGTATTGAAATAAGTATAAAGGATAATTATTTTAATAGGCACCATTATAAATAAGAGAAAGTGGATATTAATGGTTAAATATTTTAAATTGTAAGATATTTTTGAATTTATTCCCTATTTCATATTCCCCTGGCTCTGCTTATTAAGCACGTTAAAATGGCATGACATAGTCATTTTTACGAGTGATTATCGAAAAATAGACATTATTTGCAAAGTTATCGAAAAGTAGCCATTATTTAAGGTGGAGATAAAATCTGGACAAAAATACCCTAGTTGAAATACGAAAAGTTCCAGCATAATATGCTGAATTATGGAACTTTTGTGTATAAACTTCTAGCATGTTTTGTTGAAGCTCCAGCACATTATACTGGAATCCCATATGTAAAAAAATCGAATTTCAGCATATTATGCTGGAATTTTTTCGGATTTTAAGCTGTATTGTTCAAATTTTATTTTCACAAGAAAAATTGATTAAATTTTAGTAATTACTTTTGGAATTATGAGTAAATCAGGTTGTTTTTGATTTTTTTCTCCATCAAACACTGAGCATAACCCAAGCAACCAAAGCCGCTGCTTGGGCCGCAGGTCTCGACTAGGCTAACCAGACAGTGGCCCATATAATGGTCACATATTGGTAAGTTTCTAACATTTCTGGCCCTGGTCAAGAAATTGCCAGAATAAAATTGAATTTCGGAAAATTAACACATGGAGTTATTGTTTCACTGGGGAATTCAGGATTTGGAGCTTCTACGTTGGGGGTTCATTTAAACTTACTGAATCTTAAATTATATATATATATATACACTTTTGAAAACAAATACATAATTTGGATCAGAACGAGCAGCTCAAACACATGTGTGGCCTAAAGCCAAATTTAATGTGAGGACTAAATTTTAAAAAGAAAGTTATGATATATATATACACTCGTAGAAAGTTGGGCAGACATTCGTTTAATTGTTTAATAACTTCTAGAGGAGCCCGTGTGTAAATTGATGAAGCAGAGGCACATAGATCAAAAGCAAACAAATCTACACAAATAACAAGAACAGACCACAAGAATACTCAGGCTGATGCCTCTGGTCATTATGCCTTCCAGAGGATTTTCATGGTGATTATCACCATATCTTATAAAAATATTACCACCTAAAATGCCGATTGTCGGGCACCTTTAACCTGAAAATATATATGATAAAGAAATTCACATAAAATAACTAAAAACTAGCCACATGAATTGATGGTTACGTCTTATATTAGCTCTAATTAACGTCATTAGAGTTTAACTTATACTCCCTCTGTCCTAATTTATGTGAAGGTATTCATATTTCAATAGTCAAACAAATTATTCTCTGATTGTAATTTTTTATACGCATTTTAAATATTTTAGATTATTAATTATTGTGACTTATAGTACTTTTTATGTAGTTTTCAAATATGTAAATCTTATTTCAAAAAATTAAAAAAAATTATGTCTAAATGCATGGTAAAAATTAATTGAATCTCGAAAAGCAAAAAATATCAATTGAGACAAAGGAAGTATATGCTGACGATGCAAAAAAATTTCAACATTAAAGTTATCTATAATTAAGTAACTGCCATAACAAATGAAATTAGTAAAATAAAAATTACGTAAGATATTTAATTTGCTAAAGCAAGTTAAATTATTCTACGAGTGTAAAATATATTTGTACTTTATCGATGTATGTAACTTTAAATTTAAATTCAATGGCTTGGTCCAGCTTCTGGTGCACCCTCACTTTTCTTTTCTTTTCATTTCTTATCTTTATTATTCAGGTTTCCAATTCTTTCGCTTACCAAATTATTGCACAAGGAAACTAATTTACGTTTACTTTTATGAGATAAAACATTAATGTTTTTTCCTTTAATAACACGATAAGTAAGCAAATGGACTTAAGTTTTGCAATAAACTTTCATGCCTCATGCTATAAATCATTAAAGCGGATTGAGAAACACATTTTTTTCATGACTAACAATAGTCCATTAGTCAAAGTACCCAAAGCTACATAATTCCTTTGCTCTTATCGTGAAGAAAATTAATTATTCAATTGTAATTAACCTATTAATTATAACGGTCCAAGAGCACAGATTGTTTTTAATTGAAGTGAATTAACACTGATCTATCCTTTCTAAATAGTTCTACCTACGATTAAAAAATACGACTGTCTTCTAACTATAGCAATATTGTAATACTACTACTATATAACTTCCCAAACTAGACAACAAACTACTTTGATTTTTAATCTAATAAAAATATAAGTTCCCAGGAAAAAGGGTACTCCAGTGTATATCAGGGCTAGCCAGCGAGGCAGACAAAACGTATGTGAAGAGTTGAGCGAAAAAGGTTGGGGCACAATCAAGGATTGTGGTGAGATAGAATTTTCCGTCATTAAAATTGACAGACTAAAGTTCTCGAGTTCAGAATCTTGAAAATAAAACAATTCTAATATAAAGCGTTTTCATTTAAAAGAGCTTGCACAATACGAATTCAAATTAATTAAGATTTCAATACGGTTATCGAATAGAGAAAAAAATAAAAATAAAAATAAAAGGTAGAAGGGAGAAATCCAAGTTTTCTTTGGCTACAAGGCTAGACCCCCTTATAGGAGACAATAAGAGGCTACAGTATTTATTCTTTAGAGGAAAGGAATGAACATAACAACTCACACAATGTTGACCAGAAACTTAACTTTCCATAGGTTGGCTTATCAAGGGTTTCTCTCTTTAGATCACTTTCTTTTTCTTTACTCCATCCATAGACCAATCCAAAACTTAGTCCAATTAGACAGAGAAAGCTAAAAAGAGAGACTGCAAACTGGAGTAAGTGAGATTCATTCCAGTTGTATCTCGTTGCTTTTGAGGAATGTTTTCTTTTCCTTTTTGTTTTTGTTTTAATTGTTTTTTCAATATAATATATACTTCTCTTCTTTTTTAGAAGTTCGACACTGTTCTTAGCTTTTCGTCGTTTGTAGCATAAAGTAGTATATGTAGTATTCAATAGAAGATTTGAATCTTGGTATTCAAAATCTTTATAATATACAGATTTTGTGTGTGCGCTTTTGCTTAGATTATTTGCATGGATAGTTGGACAAATGCATGCATGCAAATCGAAGGGCGACGGGGGATTCAAAGATAATTTACGCATGGCACGTGATGGGTTATATCGGAACCATAATTGCCACGCATGGCACATGATAATGTATAAGGATGATGAGTAGTTAAAACAAAATTTTGCACAATAAAATCGCACAAAAGATAAATATATTTGACATAATATATTGATAATGTGAAATTTTTATATTTTTGTGCATTCTTCCTCATTGGATTTCATAAGCCAGTGCTTGGAGTGCGAGAATCAGACCGCTTAATTTTCAATGTGTACTTGAATTTCATAATTTGAACTACATAAAAAAACATTACAAGTTATAATAATTAATAATTTAAACTATTTAAATTTCCAAAAGTTGTGATCTAAGAGAAATCTTTTGACTCCTAAATAGATAATAGTAACTATATTACAAATTGAAATGTTATATACAAAGATTGATTTTTTGTAATATAGTTGAACATCAAAAGTTGGATAAGATACGATTATAATTAGGGAAATATTTGAAAAGAAGCCAGCTGGGACCCATAAAATCAAAGGAGCCACGTAACATCATTGTCCTTGTATAATGTTAATGTATGAGGAAGCGTGAGCATATTTGTCATTCTCAAAGATTGTGAGAATTATGGGTGGTGTTACTGTTCGTGGGGGGTTTGGCTTCCATGATTAAGCAAATCCCTGAGTTTCATTTAACAGATTGCATTTACATTTACATATAAAATATAGGTATGGTGAGAGGATTTAACTTAATATTTTACACCCATAATGTAAAAGAACTACAATTATACTGTATCCGTTTACCTTGAAAATGGTAACTACAATTATATTTGATTTTGTGATTCTAAAAATACGTGATTTATTTTAATACTAGTTGTTAAGCAATAGATGCTAGGTATAAATAAAGAGAATAAGCTGTGCAAACCAATGGGGTCATAAAGCTGGGCCTCGAGCTGGCTGAAGCGGGACCTCGTGGTCTAGATGGGGTTAATAACGGTGAACTATTGACAAAGAATCAATGATAATGAGGGCTTTAAAGATGGTCTTTTATGATTAATAATGAGCAATAAATGATGGACAATGTAAAAATAAGCAATAAAAGTGTAGAGCAATCGTGTTAGCAAAGAGGGCAGAGAATGTTGTGTTATATTCAATATCAAGGTGCTTTACAAAATGACAAAGGTCCCCTTTATATAGGAGGGTTGAATCCCAACATAGTACATGTCTAATAAATGACGAATAAATGCTACTAGTACAGCTGTATAATGGCTTAGTGCGGATGTGTACTATTCTTGCAGATTCTGTCAGCCCTCATCGTGTGCCCTCGGGGGTTTCCCGCCTTTCCATGACGACCACCGACTCGTGCCGCTCCGAGATCGACCTTCGATGTGCCCC